CATGTATGACTAGAACATCCAAATAATTGAATAAACTATTACCTAAAAATGTTATTTATACAAATATTATTTTCAGATTATTTAAATCTTGATTTAAATGATAATATTGAAATAAGAATTTTATTAGATATTTTATAACAATTTCGTGAAAACTGATTGAATAAATTTCTAATAAATAGTTCAAAATAAATGTATTATCCAATTCATGATAATTTAGTATAAGTTTCTTCTGCAGCAACTATCTTTCTTTTATATAAGCAAATTTTGATCATTATAATGAGTAGTATACATTTATGAGAAAATTTGAGAAATAACCTACAACTCATTATGTAATGTTACAATCTATCAGATGCTATTTATTATACTATAAGCTTAAGAATAATATGTGAATGATCACATCATAAAAATTTGGATTATTAGAATTAATTAATGAGCATTTTATATAATGGTAGCATAAAATAAATATATACATAAACTTTATTAAACTATTAAATTTTCTAATAATAAATTGCGTGATATTCTATATTTTATTTTTTATGTAATTAATTAGCATTATTATTTGTTTTATAAATTGAATTGCATAAATGTAGATTGAATAATAAAAGAAGAGGAGAAGTCATAATTATTGTATTGTGAATAGGTTAAAATTTTTTCAAATACTATAAAAACATTTTTTTGTTTTATATTTATTTTTAATTAATAGATTACAAAATTTAGATTTGAAATAGAAAATAAATAAATTTGTAAAAATTTTGTTTTATAAAAATTTATTAGATTGTATGTTATAAATAAAATAGGTATTATAAAGGTATTAAAATGAAGGTAAATATTCTTAGATACCGTATAGTCCCGAAAATAAGCATCCCATGACACGCTCCTTTTATAGTAATTTATTTATTTGTCACATGGAATTTATTATATTATTAGTTACAAATATACTGATAAATTCATATATATCACGTGGTGTTTATTTTTGGGACTATACGGTAATTGTCTTTGAAATTTTATCCTATTTTATTATGGCTGTTTTTGAGAAATCTAATTTGTTATACAATATTTAACATGCAATTTTAATTGAAATTTTTTTAAAATTATTTATTTTGCTTATTATTAATTATTGTCATATAAAATATATAGTTTAATATATATATTATCAAGTTATTTAAGTTTGTTAAAAAGTTTTTTAATAGTTCAATTTTTAATATTAAGTTTTTAAAATTTAATTATAATAATATTTTTAAAAGACATATATTTACAAACTAATTAAATCACTTACTATTAATAAATATTAATAGTTATTAAAGTTAATTTTCATGATAAATTTTAATATTTATTATAATTAATATTACTAAAAGTAAATAATAAGATCAATGACAAAGTTTTTAATATAAAAATTATGATATAATCAAAAAATAAAAATTACTTTAAATAATATATATTTATAAAATTAATTTAAAAATAATTTCTTAAAAAAATTATAACTATTCATAAATTTAATTAGAAGGAAATTTAAAGTAAATAAGGAAGAAAATTTGATAGCAAATCTTTACAATTTAAGGAAAAGGGATAAAAAATAATTCAATATATAAATAATAAATTTTTAAAAGCTACTTTTATTCTATATTTATTTAAAAAAAATAAATTAATTGTAATATATTTTAATTATATAATAAATCTTGATTGTTATGAAAATTAAATTTTAAAATTATTTAAATTATTTTACTAAATTAATATTTTATTGCATTATATTTACTATACTCAAAAAATATTAAAAATTAAAATGCAATAAAAATCTTAATTTATTAAAATCTATTTAAAATTTAGTTTTCTAAATACTTCTAATTAATACATTTTATTATATTTATTTAAAATAATTAAAAAGGAATCCAAAATCTGTATACATTACTACATTTTATCTTGATAGAAGTTGCTTCTTTTCGTTAATCATATTTAAATACAAAACATGTATTAGATAAACAATTTATTTTTCGATTTTAACTAGTAATAAATATCGATTTTTTTATTTTATGTAACAAATATCTGAATAACATCTTCTGTATCTTTAAAAAATAATTCCTTTTTTATCGATAATACAGTAATTGTTACACATTTGATTGACATGACTTATAAGAGCGTTTCCGAGTTAGTTCTTGAAACTGATTATAAATTCAACTTATTCTGGGTTTTTCCTGAGTTACAAACCATTTTTAACCAATTTTAAAAATAGAAACGGAACCGAATCCGGACCGGTTCCAAGAGTCAGCTCAAAATTGTATTGTCATAATAGGACGATAACGAGTCAAAATAATTTTTTAAGTTTATAATCACATGATGCTCTATCAGATTAACGCTCAAAGGTTTAATTTACTTAAGAAAAGTCAAAGTAGAACCGAAGATGAATCGAAATGGAACCGATAGAATCGTCCCAATCCCTACTTATATAAGACTAGTTATGTAATCATTTAATAAAGAAATTCCCGAGTAAAAAATTCCCAAGATTAAAATTTATATATAAGACCTCATGAATAAAAAAAAAAAAAAATTTTTATCCGGGAATAAAATTTTTCTCTTTTTTATTAAAAAAAAAAAAAATCATAAATGACCATTTTTTTTCAACTTTACGACTTTGTTCAAAGATGACAAAAATGAAAATTTTATGGCAACGGTCCACAATCCACTACCAATTCAAGCATCAGTCCACTTAAACCATGTAGATAATTTATAAAGCATTCGCGAAAAACTAGAAAGTTTAAGATCATTAGTAATAAATTATCATTTTTTTCAAAACTTCTCAAAATAATTATTGTGAAAAATAAAGTTGATAATAATTTATATCTAATATTTTCCAGATACATGAGAGTTTTGAATCATAAGCACAAACTAGATTACGACTGATGACGGGATTAAGATGTTGGATAGTAGAGCATTCATCATGAAACGTTGAGATTGGGCGCTAAAGGATGTGATAGTTTTAGAGTACAATTGAATTAAAAGCTTGGAATACAAAAAAAAAATAGGCGATATGCACGAAGCTCTATTAATTACTTTTTGAGCTAATGTCAACTCTGTATTTATTTAATTAAAGAAACATATTTGGCTTATAAATAAAATTTGATCTTTTCTAAATATCGGACATTGTATTCAAGAAAAATCTAGAAACGTCGATGTAATTTGAATGGTAGTTGGTCATGATATAAATTTCAATTATAAACCTTCGGATTTTGACATTATATTGAAAATTCTAAAAAGTGATATTTTAAAGTTACATTATAAATATCAATACGCGGAAAGTCTCCCCTATGTATTAGAATTCCCGTATTTGACAAATTGGGTTCTTCAAACAATTCCCTTGTTATTTTTTAAATGATCAAGAAGATAAACCTACGCTCATTTTTTTATTGTTTAAAAACAAACGTTATGTTATTTCACCTTTTATACACTTAATTTAAATAATCTGGTTACGATCCTTACAATATATACTTCCTTTTAGGTTATCAAGTTATATTTATGTAATATGAAACCATTTTTGACCTTGAAAAATTTATTTTGGAAACTTCACAATCTAATAAAAATCCATAGTACGTTAGTTTATATATCAAAGGATAATAATTATAATCAAATTTTTTTTGAATCAAAAACTTAAACGAATCAACTTGGAACGTGTTTATTGCAATTGTAAAATTACATGTACTCTTTAAATTGAAAAACAAGTACATTGGATGATTCTTCGATATATATTAAGTATGTATATTATAATTATTAATCAATTATCGTATTGTTAATGTCGTTCTTCAAAGGTTGCCGAGCAATCCCGGAAGTTCGACAGGCGTCGAATTCGAATTACGTCGGAACTTGTCACCCATCGAAATTGAAAAATTTCGACTTTGCTAATAAGATGTTTTGACCCGCAATCTTACTACCAAGAAGTAACTTGAGGTAACATATATTTCAAATCAAGCATACGATTGTATACAAGAAAATATTAAGAAATATAAAGATGAGAAACCGGAAGAAGAATTATTAAAAAAAAAGATCAAATGTTTTTGAAAAATTAACGAAAAAAATAGTCAATGTCAAATAAAAAAAAAAGCTAGCCTATTTAAATTTTAAATTTTTTTCTTTAGTAGAGAGTGATAAAGTTGTTGAAAGTCAAGAGACAATAGTAGAAGAAGAATTAATAAATGACTCAGCAAAATATGGCAAAAAAAATAGTTGAATATAATAAAGAAAAAGTGATAATGTAGTAGCGAATGATGAAGTATTGTTAGTTGATTCAGTGAAGTCTCATATCTAAAAACATACTTAGATTTCGTAAAAGTTTAGTTAAGAAACAAGAAGTTTCCGAAAATGATATTGTAACCGTAATATTGTTACTCGATAATCGTCCCTAAGGTTAATGATTCTTTTTCAACCTTATTTGTCATAGCAGGTAAGGGGCGGTAGATCAGTGATGTGATTCTGTTACACATGCATCACATGGTGATGAATCAAAAATAGATATAAATGACCTCACTTCTGATGTTTCGATGTAATACTTTGATCTCTTTCTCTTTCTCTGTGAGTTTTGGTCTTTAGAAGATTTTCTGACTGCATTGCTTTTTGCAATAATTTATATGAAACTAGCAACTAATCAAGTATTTCAGAAGTTTGTAACAAGGTTAAAAAGCTTTTAAGCACAAAGAAGGTTGGTTGAATTTTGTGCTGTGCAAATATGGACTGTATGGTTACTTCTTGCATCACTTGAAGGGTTCGTCCTGAGAGGGTGAGCATTAAATCCTCCATAATTAGCAAAGGAAGTTTTTTTACCAAACTCTTTGCTTTTTGTTAGGTTCATCCTGGTGGGAAGGTGAGGCCCTGCATGTCAATCAAGTAGCCGAGTTTGATCTGGAAATCAACGCATACGTTTTGATAAGTCCTCTTTTTGGAAACGTGATCTGTTATGTGCCTTCCTTTATACAAACTATGAAGTTGAACTGTAAATAAAAAATCGAAGCAGGGAAATGGACATCACTTCCTCATCAAAAAAAGAAGGAAATCCGATAGAAATCAGGTGATAATATATCATCTTATCTAAGCTACAAATCGGCAGCCGGATAATGAAGTAATCACGTAAGATTAATTCAGTGTTAATCGTAGAATTATACTAGAGCTTATTTACATTTTGACACTTTAGATATTCTTAGACTCAATAACGAGGTTTGAGGTCTATAAAGTATAAACTTTAAACAAGTTAAAACTGGATACTTTAAAGGTTGGACCCGGCCTAAAATACCTTAACCAGTTAATAACTAAATTTGGTCAGTTGTGGCGAAATTTTTGTAATCACAAAAATAAAATTCTGATGTCATAATTAATTATTTTAACCGGTTAATTAACTGGTTAAAAATTAAAGGTTCCAACCTCTAAGATACTTCCTTTGCCCGGAAAGCAAATTATTAAAAATCCTATAATCGGTCCTGAATTTATCTAGATATTAAAACGGCCGAGGGCGAGGTTTCAAACATGGTTAATAGGCTGATGGAAGTGTCAAGCTTAAGATTGATGGTGTGACACAGTGGACAAACATATCTAGAGGATTAATGCCGGTTCATACTGTTTTGGAAGTAAAGAAACAAAGCACATATCCGGCTCAGCTGATGAGGATAAGGTAGCTGTTGGAAAGATGTCCGCATTTTATGGTCAACAGCTGCCATTACGCCAAATTTTCTACATACGTAGCTGTGGCAGGATAACTTATTTTTCAAACGACTTTCACGAGATGTTTTGCCCCATTTTTTTGCAGCAGATGATTTCTCAAATATCGTCTCTTGCTGTTTTTGTCGAGAAATCGCATGAATCTTACTTGTGATAAAAAAAATAAGCGATGTATTTATTTCTTTTTTTGTACTATTAGTGATAATTTTTAGGCATCTGGCTTTTATTTTCAATATGATCTTTACATTCATCGACCTCTCTTTAAATTCTTTATTTTATCACTTAATTTTTTTATTTTTGAAAATTAGAAAACAGAATTATATCATTTAATAAATTTAATTGATTACTGCTGTAAATTAAGTACAAAACGTTCATCTAATTAAAAAATAATAAAATATTTAAAAAAAAACTCCCAAGCCGAAGTACCGAAGATGCATATCAAAAAAAACACAAGAACAATAATAAACGTTTAACTAACAAAAAAAAATAAAAATATAGTTCAGAGGGAAATAAAATATCCGTTCGGTCTGCCATGTGTCGAAATTTTTTTTTATTTTCACGAAAATAAGCTACTAAAGCTTATTAAAGTTATATAAAACGAGATGAGTTAAAATTTTTGACGTGTATTATAACTTATTGATTGATCTCATATTTATAAGGTGCAAATAATTTTTTTCTTTTAACTATAATCATTTCATTTTACAAACTATAATTTTTTAATCGATGTTATCAAACTTTTCAAATGCATAAATAATTAACGATTCAAAAAACAACCATTTTATAAAATAACAAGTTACAAAATTATAAGATGAGAGACTAACAAGATAATGAATGTAGGGAAAAAATATGGGGGAATGATAAACCAAACTTTCAAAAAACTTTTTGATGAGCTTGCATTATTCACAACAGCGTTTTGATGAACTATTGAGATCATATTTGCTTTCATTGTAATATTTAGGCAATCCTTCGATGTCGTAATTAGGATGGCCGGTTGTGGGAACACTCCAGGATAAAGTGAAAGTTCTTGAACTACCGTCACGTCATCTATGATGTAAGTGGAGATAAAATTTTTTATAGCTTATTACCATTTTTTTACAATACATCGGGTGGTCCTAAACTTTTTGCGCGGGAGTGTATATCGTTATACTGTAATGATATTCTTTATATATCGAAAAAAATTCGTCACTCGCCGTACCGATCGATCCGAATCTAACCTAAAATTGTCTATAGAATAAAAAATATCGTCACCCTGACGCCAATCGAAACTAACCTAAAATCGACTAGAGAATAAAAATAAATAAATAAAAAAGTCAGATTAGTAATCTGATAATCGTCACCTCCCTTCCCGATCGAAAGTTCCTCAACTAATAAATTTCCTCCTCAAATTTTTTTTTCTTATTTTGTTTCTTATTTCAATTGTTTAACCTTCAGTAAAATGACTTTAGAATATTTGCAGGAAGCTGTTAATGATTATGAAAGGTTACTTGAAAATGACAAAAGATATGATGTCATTATTTATGCCGGTGAAAATGAAAGCGCTAAAGAACTACATGCACTTTCAAATATATTATGTTTCAGGTCGCAGTATTTTTATGATGAATTAACCAAGGAAAATGTTGAGAAAAAGGAAGGGAAATTTGTTTTAAAAGTACCCAATATTCCTCCACAAGTTTTTAAAATTATTTTAATCGAAAATAATTTTACCTGGTTACTAATAAACTTTAGTTTCAGATTTATATATTGCGGAAAGGTTGACTTGACGAAATTAGAAGGAACTGAATTATTAAAGCTCTTAAAGGCAGCAAGTGCACTTAATCTCCAAATTTTAGTTCCCGGAATTGAAGAATATTTAATTAAAGTCCATCATGAGTTTTTACAAAAAAATCCTATAGAAATTCTTGAAACAATTTATCAAAATGAGTCCTTTACGAAATTACGGAATTTTTATCTTGACAACATTTGTAAAGACCCCGAAGAGATATTTAATTCTGATAAATTTATCAGTATAAAAGCTCCTTTATTGGAATTACTTTTGAAACGGGATGATTTGAGTTTAGATGAAATTGATATTTGGGATAGTTTAATTAAATGGGGATTTGGTCAGAATCCGTCCATTCCTAAAGATGTCAATAAATGGAGTAAAGAAGAAACTATAATCATGGAAAGAACTCTACATAGATATATCCCTTTAGTTAGATTTAATTATATGTCTTCAGGAGATTTTCTCGATAAAGTGCTTCCTTTTAAAGAATTACTGTATTTTTTATGGTCTAACGTCATGTCAAATACATGTCTTTTTAATTATTACAAGAAAAATGAAACACACATATTTAACCTTTGTAATAGACGGAAAAAATAAAAAATAAGTCTGAACATATTGACCTATAAATTATATTTTTGCATATAAAGTAAAATTGATTTTTCTTGCAGTTTCCACCCTTTCAATAATTGCAAGGTTCCCCATATGAATGTGTTACATTGTAGAAACGGTTCAAATAAAAAAGAAACCAGCGATTAATAATTGTTGAAATTTCAATTCCTTACGAATACATCAAATCTAAAATTTCCCGATTCAAAACATTTCTGGAAAAATCCAAAGCTCCGCAGTAAAACATGTTGTAATCCTTTTAGAATTTAATCATTTTTTTATGAAAAATTTTTTTATGGCTTTAGTTTACAGAATGAATATTTAAAAATTTTTATGTTTAAATAAATTAAATATACATTATATTCGCTTTTTCAATGAAAAGGTTTCAAATTTCATCAAGTGATAAATGTTGACTGAGTATCCTTAAAATTTTGTTGCTTTGAGAAAACTTTAGAGATAATATATGAAACTTAGAAATTATAAAGAAAAATTCACGTCAAATTAAAATATTGATCGGTGAAATTAAAAAAAAAAAAGAAAATAATTTAAAATAAATTTAAATTCGAAACAAAAATAAGCCAATATGATCAAAGATATTTATTTATTTCAAATTTTTTATATTTAGGAATCTTCATGTGAAATATTCAAAAAAATAAAAGAATGAACCTTGACCACTTGGACAAATTACAATTCTCTTTAGAAAAAAAAAATAATCATCACTCGTTCTAATTATTCGCAATTAAATATTCATGAAATAGCATTGCAAAAAAAACTTTGATGATCGTCAGTATAGGATAGCTCATTTGAGGTGAAAAAAGAATGTGCAAACGAATATAATGGGGTATAAATTTAAAAAATAAAATAAATAAAAAAATCACCTCAAGAAATCATCAAAATACATAAAGCATATTATTTTTTTTTATTTATATAAATAAAAAAATAAACTCTAAATTAAAGAAATATACGGATGAAGTGATCAAAAGAGGGAATATTTTAATTGCAAAAAGGAAAGAAAAAACAGCCAACTACAACTAAAGATATGATATTTTGTATCGTAGTCATGCTTATCAAAAGATAAATACCCTAGTGAAAATTTATAAAAGGGGAATTTTTTTGATTTTTTTGATTTTATTTTCTTATTTTATGTTATATTAAAGAGAATAATAAATTAGGCCATTTATCTTCATATTACTAAACAATACGTGCAAGTATAATCTTTATCATAATCTATATATTTGCAGAATCGCTTTTCAATAATTCTCTTTTTAATCACGAACAAAGATTTGATATTTCTAATCGTCAAATTTTCAATGATTAAATTAAATTATTAGAGGAAATGCATTACCACTAAATGAGTCCGATACAAATCCATTTAATCGATTTTGACGAATTTAATCATATAATGAAACGTGATAAAAAATTTTTATTGATAATTCTGGATCAAATCTTCAAGTCAATATTATTATATATTTTTTAAAGAAGATAAAATGTATACAATGAGAGAAAAAATAAGTTCAAATTTAATATATTGATAAAACTATCAAATATCAAAATTCACAATTATATGCTCAGTTTGATAAATAGGCGTATAAAAAATTCATTGTTGATTTAAGTGCAATTAGTGATTTAATTTAAATTTAAATGTTGTCTAATAGTTTTTTTTTTACTTTAAAAAAAATTTGAACATTGAAACGTAGAAGATTATTAATAGAGTTATTCAGACAGAAGTCAGGTAGTAGAATAAGTTTTGAGTTTTTAAAGATACAGGTTTGATATCCGTTAGGGAATTGGGAAAATTTGGTAAACTAGTTATTTGGGTATTATCGCAACTGAGCATCTCTAAGAAATTTGGTAAGATTGGTAAACTAGTTATTTGGGTATTATCGCAACTGAGTTTCGTTAAGGAATTTGGTAAGGTTGGTAGGCAGGATATTGGTGTATTATTACAATAGAGTCCTGATAAGGAGTTTGGTAAGGTTGGTAAACAGTTAATTGAGTTGTATAACAATAGAGTTCTGTTAAGGAGTTTGGTAAGGTTGGTAAACTAGTTATTTTAGTATCACGGCAACTGAGTTTCGTTAAGGAGTTTGGTAAGGTTGGTAAGCTAGTTATTTGTGTTTCATTACAATCGAGTATTTTTAAGAAGGTCGATAAGGTTGGTAAGCTAATTATTTGAGTTGTATAACAATAGAGTTCAGTTAAGGAGTTTGGTAAGGTTGGTAAACTAGTTATTTGTGTTTCATTACAATAGAGTTTTGTTAAGGAGTTTGGTAATGTTGGTAAACTAGTTATTGGAGTTTTATGGCAATAGAGTTCAGTTAAGGAGTTTGGTAAGGTTGGTAAGCTATTTATTTGGGTATTACTGCAATAGAGTTCCGTTAAGGAGTTTGGTAAGGTTGGTAAACTAGTTATTTTTGTATCACAGAAACTGAGTTTCGTTAATTTTCGATATCTTTGCAATCCTCCTAAGGTGTTTAATATATCATCCTTATTAAGCTCCGTAATCGTTAAACTATCGATCGTATTATCGTAAATAATATTATTTAAATCTAATTCTTCTGCACTCATCTGATTAAAATTTTGAATCAT